AAAAATGTAAAAGAAATGGATGATTTTCTGTATGGGTATCTCATACCAAGATTAAATTAAGGCCAGATGAGCAATTTAAATAGACCTATAATGTGCAAGGAAATAGAAGCAGTCATCAAAAGCCTCTCAACCAAAAAAAATGCCAAGTGTCGGATGGTTTCTGTGCAGAATTCTATCAAAATTTCAAAGAAGAGCTAATACTTATACTCCTCAAAGTGTTCTACATAATAAAAACAACAGGAACATTGGCAAACTCTTTTTATGAGGCTACAGTTACCTTGATACCAAAACCACATAAAGACTCAACCAAGAAGGGGAATTACAGAACAGTCTCATTCATGAATATAGATGCAAAAATATTCAAAAAATACTGGAAAACTGAATCCAAGAACCCATCAGAAAAATCTTTCACCATGAGCAAGTTGGCTTCATCCCAGACCTGCTGGGATGGTTCAACATACAAAAATCTACCAATGTAATCTACCATATAAGTAAACTTGAAGAGAAAAACCTTATGATCATCTTATTAGATGCTGAAAATGCATTAAACAAAATACAACACCCCTTCATCATAAAGGTCTTGGAGAGATCAAGGAATATATCTAAACATAATAAAAACAATAAACAGCAAGCCAACAGCCAACTTCAAACTAAATGGAGAGAAACTTGAAGAAATTCCACTAAAATCATGAACAAGACAAGGCTGTCCAGTCTCTCCATAACTCTTCAACATATTTCTTGATGTTCTGGTTAGAGCAAAAAGACAACAAATGGAAATCAAGGGGATTAAAATTAGAAAGGAAGGAGTCAAATTTTTCTATTTCCAGATGTTCTGGTAGTATACATAAATGACCTCCAAAACTCTACCAGGTACTCTTTTGCCTGATAAATACCTTCAGCAATGTGGCACAATAGAAGATCAGTTTTTAAAAGTCAGTCTCCCTCCTATATACAAATGATTAATGAATTATGAAAGAAATCAGAGAAACATCACCCTTTATAATAGCCACAAATAACATGAAATATCTTGGTGTAACATTAACCAAAGAAGTGAAAGACTTTTTTGACATGAACTTTAAATCTTTGAAGAAAGATACTTGAAGATGATACCAGGAAAAGGAAAGATCTCCCGTGTTTTTGGACAGGTAGAATCAACATAATATAAATGGCAGTACTTCCAAAAGCAATCTGTAGACTCAATGCAATCCCCATCAAAATCTCAACACAATTCTTTACAGACCTTGAAAGAACAATACTCAACTCCATATGGAAAAATGAAAGGCCCATGATAACCAAAACAATCCTGTACAATAAATGAACTTCCAGAGACATCACCATCCCTGACATCAAGTTATATTATAGAGGGATAGTAATGGAAACAGCTTGGTATTAGCATAAAAACAGATATACTGACCACTGGAATAGAATCAAAGACCTGGAAAATAATCCACAAACCTGTGAACCACTGATTTTTGACAAAGAAGCTAAAGTTATACAATGGAGAAAAGAAAGCATCTTCAACAAATGGTGCTGGCATAACTTGGTGTCAATATGTAGAAGAATGCAAATAAATCCATTTCTATCCCCTTGTACAAAACTCAAATCAAATGGATTAAAGACTTTAGCATATATCCGACCACACTGAACCTAATAGAAGAGAAAGTATGAAGTGCATGGGCACAGGAAACCACTTACTTCCTAAATATTATGCCAGTATCATAGACATCGAGATCATAAATAAGTAAATAGGACCTCTTGAAGTTGAGAAACTTCTGTAAAGCAAAGACACAGTCAATAAGACAAAAAGGCAACTCACAGAATGGGAAAAGATCTTCACCATCTCCACATCAGACAGAGTACTGATCTCCAAAATACGTAGAGAAATTAAGAAATTAGACATCAAGATTCCAAACAATCCAATTAAAAATAGGGTACAAAACTAAACATATAGTTTTCAACAGAAGAATCTCAAATGGCCAAAAGACACTTAAGGAAATGTTCAACATCTTTAGCCATCAGGAAAATGCAAATCAAAATGACTTTGAGATACCATCTTATACCAGTCAGAATGGCTAAGATCAGAAACACCCATGAAAGCTTATGTTAGTAAGAATATGGAGTAAGGGGAACACTTCTCCATTGCTTGGTGGGAATGTAAACCTGTAAAACCACTGTGGAAATCAGTATGGTGGTTTCTCAGAAAATTGGAAATCTACTTCAGGACCTAACAATACCATTCTTGGGCATATACCCAAAAGATGCTCAATCATACTACAAGGACATTTATTCAACTATGTTCAAAGCAGCATTATTTGTAATAGCCAGAACCTGGAAACAACCTCAATGCCCCTCTGCCAAAGAATGGATAAAGAAAATGTGGTGCATTCACACAATGGAGTGCTACTTGGTGGTAAAAAACAATGACACCTTGAAATTTTCCTGCAAATGGATGGAGCTAGAAAAAAAAACATCCTGAGTAAGGTAACCTATACCCAGAAAAATGAATGTGGTATGGATTCACTCATAAGTGAATACTAGCTGTAAAGTAAAGGATAATGACCCTATAGTCCATGATCCTAGGGAAACTACGTAACAAGATGAACCTTAAGAAAAACATACATAGATTCACCTGGAAAGGGGAAATAGATAAGATTGCCTGACAAAATTGGGAACATGGGTGTAGGTGGAGAAGAGAATGTACAAGAGGAAAGTAGGAAAAAGGGAATGGGGGAGAAGTTGAGAGAATGGGATAAATGAGATGGTGAAAGGGCAGAGAGGAGAGCAAAGAAAGAGAGATCTTGATTGAGGGAATCATTATGGGGCTAGCAAGAAATTTCTCACTAGAAAATTTCCCAAGAACCCACAAGGATGTCCCTAGCTAAGATCCTAAGCAATAGAGGAGAGGATGCTCGAAAAAGCCGTGCCCTGTTGTCAGATTGATGAATATCTTAAATATCACCACAGAACCTTCATCCAGCAACTGATGAAAACAGAGACAGAGACCAGCAGTGGAATACTGGGCTAATCTCCCAAAGTCCAGTTGAAGAGTGGGAGGAGTGAGAATATGAGCAGAGAGGTTAAGACCATGATGGGGATACCCACTGAAACAGCTGACCTGAACTAATGGGAGCTCACCAACTCCAGCTGGACAGGAAAGCAACCAGCATAGGACCAAACTAGATCCTATGAATGTGGGTGACAGTTGTATGGCTGGGGCAGACTGCAGGGCCACTGGTAGTGGTACCAGGATTTATTCCTACTGCTTGTACAGGCATTTTGGGAACCTATTCTCTTTGAATGGATACCTTGCTCAGCCTAAAGTAGGGAGGGCCTTGGTCCTTACCCTCTCTGAGGAGTGAATGCAGTGTGGAATGTGGAAGTGGGGAGGGGATGGGAGGAGAGAAGGGAGTGGGAACTGGTTTGGTATGTAAAATAAAAAAGATAGTTTACTGTCTTTAAAAGAATAAAAATGTATAAAAATTAGTGTATGTAACTTTATTTATAAAGAGTAAAGTGCATTCATAATTCTTTTATAAAATGTGACCAATGAAGGAAGAAAAATAATTAAAAACACAGTATGTATAATCTACGGAGTGCACAAATTACTTATTTTATTACAGAGTAAAACGTGGGCATTGGAGATTTTTGATAACAGAACTATGTTTATGGAAACATCAAGTTAATATTACACAATAGTATAAGCTCATGCTGGAGAGCAGATTTTGTAATAGGAAAGTGGTTTTTAAATTTAAATTTGTAAACAAAAACTATTTGTCTAAATTACAGATATATTTAAAAATTAATATGGTTGATATTGTGCTTTTTCATACAAGAAGCTATGTCTGCATGCCTTCTTTGAGCACCTAAGTAGTGAATATTTGCATGACATATTCATGTGTATTTAATTTTATATATTAGGAATTTTGTATTTTATCATATATATTTATGGAGCTAATTTAAAAATTCATTTTTCCATATAATCTGAAAATATTATAACTACAAATGGAAAGATGTATGCTATCCAAAGACTGTAAAGCTCAACAAATCAGTGAAGTACCTCATTATAGTAAGTGATTTTAATATTTTGCTTTGGGTACATTCTGACTGTTTTCCTTAATCCAATTTTAAAAAGCAGTGGATAAGACTTTAGCAAAAGCCATTGTATTTCTCATTTTGAAATAATTGTATTCTATAATTGAATTTTATTGTTATGTACATTTTGTATTGTGTAAAGGTGATGCTAGAAACCATTTCTCCAAAAATTATTGCAGTTCAAAGATATTTTAAATTTTCTTTGATGTTTCTACCATTTCCTTTTGTAGTTATACTCCTGATGTTGCTCCTGGGATTATGAAACCAGCTTTCTTTCTAATCACAGTCTTCTATTCTGTTCAGTTAATGTAAGTTTGTTCATGCTCCTTCCTTTCCCACGTTAACATACCTCAAATGATTCTTCACTCTTCAAAGGATAGTCACAAATTTGTCACTGAAATTCTTTAAGATTACATTATAATATAACCACGTTTCCCAGCACAAAGATAATTAGAAGAAAATGATTCCAAAATGTAGAACCTAAGGCCTAGAAGAAAGATCTATTTGTTTACATGTGGGCCAAAATCTAGAAGAACAGGATTAGAAGCAGGTGTGTCTGGAGCTCAGAACTCAATGGCAAAACTGCCTTCCCCTTGCCCATAAAATATCGATTTACAAGAACAAAGTGGAGGCATGAAAGAACAGATCAGAAATCCTTATAAAATGTCTGTCTTACATCAGCGATAAGGAGGGAAGAAAGTTTCGTGCATAATGGGAGATTTCTATAGATGACTGGAGAAATGCAGCAGCAAATCCAGAAACGTTATCAGCTGCCAAGAGGAAAAATCATTTTCTAAAAAATTATATGTGACTAGTACATTGGAATTTATTTTTTATTTCCCCTCCATATTTATGCATAATAAAATAATAGATACCATTTACATAAGAGTAATTATTGTGTATTGGGTATGGCGTTAAATGCGTATCTTAGTTCAATTCTCAAAGCTAAAAGGTATGAAGTCTTGTTACCAGCAGTTTATAGATTACACAACAGAAAGGTAAATGGCATTCCCACGGTGACCCATTTATATATGGTAGTGTTAGTATTCAGCCAACACGGTAAACAGCCAGGTTTTCCTGACGTGAGATCTGTGTCTTGGAATACTTGAGGTCTTTCTGCTGTTATTACTGCCCATTGTTAATGGCACCCAAATACAGAACCAAAAAACACCTGAATTAATTAACTATAGAGGAACAATTGTGCTTCAGAATTGCAACAGTGTTTATAATGAAACCTCAGCCTCTGGATCATTCAGCAAAGGAATATGAATTAATTTAACTTCTAGTTTATTGTAGAAAAGCATGTAGAGGAAAGAAAGGTGGTTTGGTAATATTCATTTCATTTGCTCTTATTTAACAGTTCAATGAGACAGGGGGTGTTTTCTCTTTAGTGTTGAGGACTCAGTATTTTAAAATTGTTTGCAGTGCTTACTTCACAGATGGGGGAATATTTCAGCTATGATTCATACTTCCACCCAAGTATGATCTGTTAAGAGAATCTGACCTAACCATTCCCTTATACTTGTATTGTTTCATTTTACTCTATTGAACATTAACATTGCCTTGAATGTCATTGGTTTTCATATCCTTATAATTAGCTCATTTGTTTTTCTATATAAAACTGTCCTTTTTCTGATGTGTTGAAGTGATGCCTATAACAGAAAAACATAAAATAAAATGAGATTTTAGTGAGCCAACCTCATATTTAGATGTATTTCAGCGATTTTGTTATCTCACTTTCTGGTTGCAGGTGGTTTTGTAGATAAACAACAGATTAATTTAGACACTTTTAGTGTGCCATGCTTATTATACAATCACAAGTACAAACATCAGTAAGTTCCATTGTAAGGACATAGTAATGTTGTAAGCACTAAACTTAAGAAGGAAATTATGCTTCACAAAAATAAAAAAACAAATAAGGAAACATTTGTGACTAGGAAAATAAAAGGGAAGTAAGAACACTACCAATTAAAGAAGTTGAAACCATTTGACAGGAATTGAGAGTCATTAGAAGAAGAAAACTAGGTTACTGGGAGGGATAAAAGAGTAGAAGGAAGTCATTTCAAATCTTGTCCTATAAATAACAGCAAAAATTGAATGTTATCCTTGCTGATGGGTTCTAGCTGCAATATCATCACAGAGAGCTAATCATCTAAGAATTTGCAGACTGGAATCATCCTCCAAAGGAACACTTTTTTAAAAAATCAGTTAATTAACTGTGCTGATGGTTTAAAAAATACTAGAAAATACTGAGAAAATACTAGAAAAATGCTCGAACGCACAGTACAATGGATGTTAAAATTCAGAAAGGCAGCATTAAATAAATAAAGCTACCTTTCACATATGCAATGTGGCAGATGAAGACATGGTCATTAGAAAAAAGTGGTTTTGCTTTAGTGAGAATCTCCCTGGAATCTCTAAGTTCATCCATGTCCTCACACCAAGATATAGGATAGGGTTTCTGATGCTCTAATCTGAAATGGGAAAGCAGAGAAAGAAGAAAGGAAGAAAAGAAACAAGCAAACAAATGCAACAACAACAAAGAAAATGTGATCATTGGTATTATTAACTGTACCAATGGCCATGAGATGAAACAGTATCTTGAGATGAAAATCAAGATCAGCAGATGAAGTGGAATAAAGAGTTAGGGGGAGAAGAAGGCCATGGAATAATAAAGACGAATGTGGGGTCAACATGGAAGCTTCAAAAGTTCATCCACAAAGCACTGAGGCAACCTGATCAGACTGCAACACAATGAGATCTCACGTTTAAAGAAAAATTTAAAAACCAAAAGTGTAAAACAAATAAACAAGAATAAATAAATCACCAGGCTCAGTAGGTTCCACCTATATCCTAGGCTGAGGCAAGAAAGTCTAAAATTTCAGTTTAGTTGAACCTGAATACATAGAAAGATTGCATATTAAAAGAAAAAGAAAAATCAGTTGGCAGTCTTCAATTTCTGTATATTCAACTATCCTGTGCAAATCAACCACGGTAAACTCAGAGCTAAGGACTGGGGGAAGGATGAAACGTCCACTACAGAATTCCCACTCACAGTAGCAACACATGAAATTGACATCCCTGAAGTTCTATAGCCTTAGTTAGGTTACTCAAACACCATCAGCTTTACACATGACTGTAAAGGAGGAGATTAAGCAAATAATCTAGATGACAGGAATTGCTGGAAAAGTTTAAATTAGACTTATCAAGGAGTGTAGTCAAGGGCCACTCATTGGTTTCTGGCCACTTGGACCCTAAATAATCACAAAGAAACTATGTTATTTGCAATATTGTTTGGCTAATAGCTTAAGAGTATTTCTAGCTAGCTCTTATATCCCAAACTAACCCATCTTCATTAACCTGTGCATCACTATGAGGTCATCATGGCTTACAGGCAAAGTTTTGGTAGGCTCTGGTGGAAGTGCCTGTCTCCTGCGGCAGCTACATGACTTCTCCATCACCCCATCTTCTTTCCTCCTCTATCTGCCAGGAATTCCTGCCTTGCTTTATTCTGCCAAGCCACTGGCTAAAAAAAAAAAGATTTATTCATTAACCAACAAAAGCAACACATGTACAGAAGGACTTCCCACACCAAAGGAAGTGGACTCTATGTGACCAAGCTCCTGATGAAACAGAGGAATACACATCTTGAATGTTTACAGAAGGACACAGTTTCTAAGAATAAAATCTATTATCTTAAAACTGGAATCCATAGTAAATTTATTTGGCCCGACTGTGTTCTGTTTCAACACCTTCCACTCTCACTTCAGGTAAGATTAGAATAAAACTATACAGCTACTGCTATGGAATGGATACAGTGATGCAAAGTACAGTTTCTTCCTGCTTGAAACTTAATGAGATCAATGAATTTCTGCCTCATTGGTTGAGAAATTCAATCAAATCTTATGAATATAAACTTCCCCACCCATGGATTAAAGCCAAGAGTAAAATTTACTTTTATCGTGCTTCAACCAGCAAAGAAAGCTTGGAAAGAAAAGCATGAGGCAAACTTTTGATTTTAGTTCAATGGACAAAGGGCTGCTGGCCAACCAACAGCGATACTCTGAAGCCGTGTCCACTTCCAGCCAAAATTTACAAGTATCCAGAACTCCAATTGATACACTTTTACTAGGCCCAGCATTATCACAACAGCTGAAGGTCTGAAGCACAGGTCTCCCGCTCCAGAATATTTCACTGAATATTACTTCATGGGCCTTCTGGCACCAACATAATTCTATGTGCATTTTGTGTTTGAGTGATCTCAAGGACTATAACCTCTTACAACTGAAAACCTATTTCAGCAAAATGTTCTCCTGTCCCCCAAAGAGTCGAGGCACTTGAGCATTTTCAGGACTTCTTTGAAGTTCGTAACAACCAGGACAAAACCCTAGGAGATTCTCAGCCAGGACCCTGCAATCCTCAGACTGCTGGTGTGGAAACCAGTCAGCTTACATCAGCTCAGATCCAGGAGATGGCTACATTGAATCAAAAAGTGATGGCATCTGCATTTTCTAACTGCCCTGAGTCTCTCTGTATCAAGAACTCAGCAGCACATCCAGGAAAAGACATCAATATCCATTTTGGAGAGTCAACTGATGCCTTCCTGTGAACTGGCAAGGTATATCTGTTGACTAGATAAAACACCTAGCAGACTCTCAACTGATGGAGCACAACAATGCCCTGAGAGATATCCTTCACTGGTTCCCAAAAGAAAGCAGACCCTGACACCAAGGACAAATTCTTTGAAGGCAACTTGATGATGACCCTGAGTGTTAGCCAGACTCTAGGGACATAAAATACAGCAATGTGTGAAAGTCAGAGTACTTCCTTTGGTGATAATGAAGTTGATCTCTGTGGGAGAAAGCTGGCAACTCTTGAGGAGGATCTTGTGATGTCCTTCAATGCTGACCAGGACCCAAATGAGGATCATCCAGTTGCTTCTCTGTGTGAATAGATCTTCAATGTTGACCTTGAGATGCCTGTCAGTGGTCATGAGCACACCTCTTACTACAAGCAGATGAAAACCAAAAATGTGGGGGGACAATTTCTCTATGGGAGTGAGATGACAGCATCCAGTAGAAGTCAGGTGCCTTTTCCCAATCAAATCATATCTTCATCTGCTGAACAGACTCCTTGTGCGGATCAGCAGAGTACCCTAACTTCAGAAATGACATTTTATGGAGTTCTAATGAAAGCTGCCAATGGATAACAGGCTTTATATGAGCATCAGATGACAGACCCTCCGAGATGACATAAACCACTATGGTCACATGACATCCCACAGTGGTGACAACATCTGCACAGTGAGATGAAAATCAAAGGTGGTGAACAAAGCCTCAGTGCGAATCAGATATCAACCCACAAAAGTGACCAGAATCTCTGCATGTATCATCAGATGACAAGTCCAGTTGGAGGTGTGAGCTCTACTCCAGGTTGTCATGTTGATTTCATCTAGAATTAAATAAAACCCAAATGGCTGTATACATCTGTAAGGGGATTTTGTTTAACTAAATAATTTGAAGCGGGTAAAGTGGGATGATACACTTTTCACATATGTATAACTTCTTTATTGACTCGGGGAACTTCACATCCTACACCCCAATTCCACTCACCTTGCAGTCCCCCTTCCTTCCCTCATCCCTGCCATTTCCTTGCATAAGGAAACAAATAAAAGTAAGCAGACAAGTGAACAAAAACAAAAGCAAAAACAAACTAAAACAAAACAAATCACAATAACAAAGCAAAACAAAACAATCCAGAAACCAAGAAAACAGAAAAACCTCTTTTTTTCTCCAGACTCTCTGTGTATATTCCATTTTTACATGGCTTATTTTTCTTACTCTATTAACTTTTTCTACAAGTTTAATATTTATTTTATTATCTTTACTCCTTTAAACTAAGACTGTCTGTACTTTTTTATATTACATTTTCTGTCTCTTTACTCTTTTTAAACACACTTGTCTCATTTAGAGGTCTTTTATGTCTAAATCTGTCCTATTATTTATGTGAAATCATTTTCTCTCCAGGGGTGCTTCTTAAACTGCTAAACCATGACATGACTAGGACTAAGGCTGCTTTGATTTTTGGCTCTACAAAGTCCAAAATGGTTAAGGTGTGTTCACTGCCTCTTCAAACTATGCACACCACCCCATTTTCAGGTACATAGCAGGTCGATGTCATGCCATTAAGCAGTTTGTAACACATTGCTCACAAACTCTATTTAAATGCTCCAAAGCCAGGCCTCCTGAAAGAGTTAGAGCTTTTTGTGCTGGAAAATCAAGAACCTGCCATTTTGAAGCTGTGCATTTTTTTTCCTACCACTGAATCAAAAAGACCTCTTTTAAAGGAGCTATAGCATGCCACTGGCAAGTAGAGTCCATCCAAACAAGAATGTAGCTAAACTTTGTCTTTTGATGTCTAGAATTCCTTTCCAAGCCCTCTGAGGTTTTATGTGTAGTGTATTTAGCTAGCACTTGTTGGGGTGCCAATTTGTAGGGGGAGGCCTGTTGTTCATTTTCAGTTTCTCAGTCCTGAAATAATCACTCAGAAACTATATCATTTTCAATACTGTTTGTCAAATAACTTGTGTATTGCTAGCTAGCTCTTATAACTTTGGTTAACCCTTTTCTAGTATTTTATATTTTACCATGAGGCTTGTGGTTTCTCGGCAAAATTCTGGTAGGTAGCTTGTTTTTTTCTTCTCTGACAGCTACATGGTTTCTCCTGACTCTGTCTTCTTTCTCCCAACATTCAGTTTAGATTTCCCCCACCGGGCTCTACTCTGCCCTATGACAGAACAAAGAAACTTCATTATTCACTAACCAATAAAAGCAACACATATCCATAAGGACCTCCCAGACCATGAGAGAAATGAAAAATAAACTGATTGTATATATAAAAAAAGATTCTATCATAGGTTATAATCCTTAAATTTGATAGAGTAGAAGAAAGTCACTCATTGGACATGGCCAACTCTTCTGAGAGTATAATTAATACCTTTGTGGTGTTAAGAGGGATAGTTCTATGATGTTTAGACAGTAAACATGGCATAAGTAGATACTCTTTGTGTCATGTTTACAAAAGGTATTTTATTTGTGGTTTAGTTACCAACATACCATATCTGGAATGATTTAAAACCACAAGTTATAGGACACACTTGTGAAGTGTTTTTGCTTAATTAAATCATTTGGAATGAGAGGCTCCATTTCTGTTTTGGACCTTTGAAGTAGGAAGAGACACTTTATACTATTCTTTCGAGAGGGGTAGATGTAGCCCAAATCTGGTCTCTACCTTCTCCTAGAAGCCTGTTTAAAGTACACATCAGTAGGGTGTCCCTCGGCCTCCTTACTCTTGTTAAAAAGTCACTTCCTTCCTTCTCAGGTGTTAAACCTTACTTCTTTGGTTTTCTGGGAAATGCTGAAGACCAGTGGATTCATCCAGGCTGGAGGACTGAACAACTATTGTATTCCTGGATCTTAATTTCATAGACAGCCATTGTTGTATAAGATTGACTACAGCCTATGTCAGAGAACCCTCCCCAATATAGTGTCCTTATTACCATAGACAGTTTGTAAATACAAGTGGCAAGCTCCTTTGAATGAAGCACACAAGTCTGCATGTTTCATGGTATAAAAAAAGGTATTAGTGGTCAGAATGGTGGGAGGAGAAGTAGAGAGAATGGTGAAGCCCATTGGTACATAGCCCCGCTCATCTATATGTTAGTTTAGCAATGTTCAACGTGGATGCATAGACTTGGAAACAAAGGGTAAAAGACACAGATTTATATTGGAACAATTTTAATAAACTCTCAGTCGAGTAATTAGAGGTAGGATCTCTACTCTGCACTGTCACTTTGACTATGCCAAGAATTAAATAAAACTATAATGGCTGAATATGACTGTGAAGGGATTTTGTTTGAGTAAATCTTTTGAGGTAAGAAGATTCACTTCTAATCTGGGTCTTTGAGTTGGGTAAACACATTTTCCATCCATATTTCTAGGTGGGAAGGTCCAATTTTAATCAGGGCCACACATTCTGCTGGAAGATGTATAAAGACTACTGGAAAGGTTATTTTCCTTTGACTTCTGTTTCTTGTTCTTGCTAGCAAATCCATTTTTTCTATAGCATTAGAGTGCACTCCTTTGATGTTATAGTGTTATACTGAATGCTGTAATTTAAGAAATAAAGGTGCTGTGAGAAGAAAGATACCATGCAACAGAGTTCATGTTGAGGGGTTTTATTTACAGAAAAGGAACATAATAAGAAGGAAGTGGAGGGGGAAACTGGCCTCCAGGAACAGTAGCAGCAGGAAAGAAGAAACAGGCAAAGGTAGAAAGACAAAGGCAGAGGAAAGAAGGAGAAACAGAGAGAGGCAGAAAAGCAGAAAAGCAGAGAGTGAGCGAGAAAGTAAAGACAGAGAGAGAGGAAAAATAAGAAAGAGACAGGATTTGTGCAAGGCCCGCCTTTTCAAAGGAAACTAGGAAATTAGCAAAGAGGTGCTCTTAGAGGCTTCAGCTGAGGACATACCCTGTAGAGTCCCAAGGACTGGCCAGTCCAGATGCCTGAATGCTAACATTGGAGAAGAGCTAAACCATCCATCCTCATGGATTTAACAACTATTAAGAAATTTATCCCTCTATACATAGGCAATCATTGTTGTATAAGAGAGACTACATTCTGTAAAAAAAAAAAATTGAAATTGATGCTCTGACAATTCTGAAGCGTGCATGAGCAGTACATAGATTGCAGTTCTGTTGAACATGTTCTTATTGGACTTCATGGTCTAAGTTGATAAGGACAAGTCTCTTCCTCAACAGGGCACCAGGTCTCATTACAGATGGTTGTGAGCAAACATGTGGTTACGGGAAACTGAACTCAGGATGTTTAGAAGAGCAGGCAGTGCTCTTAACAGCTGAACTATCTCTCCAGCCCCCAACCAGAAAGCCATTCTAAATAATCTCAGATAGATAGATAGATAGATAGAGAGATAGACAGACAAATAGAAAGACTAAGATTCATTATTACTTAAGTTTTATGCCTCTAGAAACAAACGCAGGAGTTAGAAAGTACGGAGATCATTAAAAAAAATTCCTAGAAATGGTAAACTGTGTTTCTGATAGATATTTTGAAAAATACAAAATGATACACTGTCTTGGAACTAACTTTAATGATTCTAAAATGTAAACACATTTTTGGATAACAAGGTTGTGATGGTTAAACTTGATTGTCAATGTAATTATATCAGGAATAAATGACAGACTAGGAAAACAGGGCACACCTGTGAGACATTCTACTTTATTTGAAGTGAGGGAACTACAGTGATACTTTGATTGTGTTCTAAAAACTAAAGATTGAATGAAGAACAGAGTGAGGAGATAGCCACACTACTTAGTCAAAGAGATCAGGCAATGGTGGCAAACAAGTTTAATACCAATACTCTGGAGAGAGAGGAAGAATGATCTCAATGAGTTCAAAGCCAACATAGCTACAGGAAATTGAATCAGTGAAAAAGAGAAGCAGAGACAATAACTTTGATCTGAGCACTTGGAATCAAAGGCCTTTCATTATAGCACTAAGAACTTGGAGTCACAAGTAATATAATTTTCCATACTACAGGAATACGTGGGTGGGAGAGGAAACAGGACAATCACACATTCAATTTGAGGATCTTGAGGGATAGGATAGTTACTTTGGAACGAGAATTCAGTAGCAGGAAGAACTAGTGGCTAGATGTTCAGCTTCTCAGATGTTTGAGGAAACTTAATTTGATACAACAAAAAGGAAATATAAACTGAGGAAATCTATTGAATACAGAAGTATCACATAAGTGAGGAGGGCTCATCTCTAGAAAAAAGAGCAATCCCAAGAAATAGCTGTAGCCAAGAAGCCATGCTGAACAATTATTTTGTGTCTGGAATTCCTTCCCAAGCTCTCTCAGGTTGTCTGTGGATGCAGTTGCACACTCTATGGGAACCATGAGCAGCGTGAATTCGCATGCAACCTTGCCTAAAGGGCAAGCTGTGATGAATTAAAAAAAATGAGATCAACCTACAAAGACAAATTCTATCACCAATGCAAAGTGATCCAGCTCTATCCTGAGGACATCCCACCTGAAGGAATTCTTGTTAATTACACCTGTCAAGGAAATGGA